ATTCAGATAAAAGCTTGAACATTATTATATCTCATTTCAGAGACCAACAATATAGACAAAAGTGTCAGGAAAGAATGCTAATAGAACCATCCCAAGCATTAAGACAAATGTTAGCAAATGCTTATATCAACACATAAAATAGTGATCTTAATTCTTAGCGAAAAGAACACTCCTTTTGGTAAACACCTCTAGATATTTCAACAGCAGGCCCTCACCCGGAGAACTCCCAGAATTTGTGAATTCTGACTCTACATCACAGTCCCATATGCAGTTTACAGCGACAAATTTACATTCTATCTCCAAACATCTTCCCTGAAGAATGCTTTTGAGCAACCAACACAACGCAGGATTAGCTAAGGAGAAAGAAGGGGCCCCGAACCAACCCATTCATTCAATTGTTAGGAAAGAATGCATTCAGATCTTGGAACTATTTATGCTGAAAACTCTATGATTCGGGCATCTTCCCCTCTGCTCGGTCCCCTGCTGAGAACGTGAAGGGCCCTCTCTGCTCTTGGCTGCCTTTACAGAGCGGCTAAAGCCAGGAGGGAAGTAAAAGCCAGGACCCGCTTCTTTGTAGATGCAGTGAGAGCTCTGAATTCAAGAAGACCCTGACATTAAAACAACAACAAACCACACCCACCCCCCCCCAAAAAAAACACCAAAAAACCCCTACCCCCAAACACTGTAATTATTCTAGAAAATAATTTGAAGTTATAGACCAGTCAATGTTTCCTAGTTGACACACTCCAATACTCTTTTCCATTCCAGCTCACCATTAATTGAATTTCTGAGAATAATGCAGATGAGATTCAACAGAAGCCAAATGGCAAGATGGGTGCATTGTTCTTGAAAATGAATATAGATGATTGCAGAGAGAAACATACAGGTCACATAATTAGCATATGTATAGGAGAGAAAGAGTGAATGCCTATGTTCAAAAATATTAATTTCCTATTTTTTTTAAATATATATTTTATTGATTTTTTAAAAAATATATTTTATTGATTTTTTTACAGAGAGGAAGGGAGAGAGATAGAGAGTTAGAAACATCGATGAGAGAGAAACATCGATCAGCTGCCTCCTACACATCTCCTGGAGATGTGCCCGCAACCCAGGTACATGCCCTTGACCAGAATCGAACCCGGGACCTTTCAGTCTGCGGGCCGGCGCTCTATCCACTGAGCCAAACCGGTTTCGGCTATTTTATTGATTTTTTACAGAAAGGAAGGGAGAGGGATAGAGAGTTAGAAACATCGATGAGAGAGAAATATCGACCAGCTGCCTCCTGCACACTCCCCACTGGGGATGTGCCTGTAACCAAGGTACATGCCCTTGACCTGAATCGAACCTGGGACCCTTCAGTCCCCAGGCCGACGCTCCATCCAGTGAGCAAACCGGCTAGGGCTAATTTCCTATTGAAACACACTGATGTCCACAGGGTCAGTCAGGAGCAGGAAGCACGTGGTGTGAGCGTGAGCAGCAGAATTGCCTAATACTTATGGCTATACGTGGACGCTGTCCCTGTGCCCCTCCCTTTGTGTCACGACTTCTCTGAACCACTCAGATAGCTGAGCACAAATCTAGGGCTCGGGATCACTAAGCATGGCCATCTATAGTGATAACAAGAAAGCTTTGAAAAAGACTCTTTGAAAACTCACTGAAGCTCTGGAGTAGCTATACGAGTTAGAAAAGCATGCCAGCGTTCACCTTCTGCGATTTGAGAATGAATGCCTGCTTGGAGACCGAGCATATTTAAACCTTCATTAAAAAGCATGGTGACATGCTCTGGCCGGGCAGCTCAGTTGGTTGGAGTTGCACCAAAAGATTGCGGGTTTGATCCCTGGTCAGGGCACATACCTAGGTTGTGGGTTTGATCCCTGGTCTGGCGGGGGGTGGGGGGGTGGGGAGAGTGGTGGTGAATGGGAGGCAACCAATTGATGTTTCTCCCTCTTTCCCTTCCTCTCTCTCTAAAAAATCAATTTAAAAAATATATCCTCGGTGAGGATTAAAAAAATTATGGTGTCATTAACAAAAATAGATTTCTACAAGTGTGTTATGAAGAATTATATAAAACTTGGATATATGACAAAAATATTTCAAGGTCATATGGGGGCAAAGGATTATAAAGGGAAAGTACTTTGTTCAACTCACTGTTTACTATGGATTAAAGGTCTCAGATTTAGTGAAGTGACAGCTGATAGATCTTTGTTTGGGAGAGATGCAAACAATTTCTGTTCAGTGGAAAGTATAACCCCAAAGGTTACAGTCTGTAGGACAGTAGTTTTGTATACAGCCCAGCAATCTTAATATACTATTTCTTTATTAAATGATATGTAAATATTTAGTTCATCTTTACTCTTATTGGCTCCTTCACTAATTAATAAGTTGAATGAAGTCTCTGACACCGACTCGTTTTATGTTTGGGCAAGAGTATGATTTTACCACTTCAAGATTATACTCTAGCAAGTAGAGATTTCAATGTTTATTCATATGACTAATTATCTTGAATGATTGAATATGCATATTCCATATGATAACAATTACCAGTTTTATCTTGTTTTCTTTTTTTGTTTTATTTAATGGCACTGGTATGCTAAAAGAGTAAATAAGGCAGGTATTTTGTTTCTTAATATGATGATATAAATAAATGTTATCCCATGTTTTTATAATATTAACTAGAAAGATATTTAGCTATACTACATATTTCTAAATTCTGTTCCATATACAGCATGATTTAGGAAATAATCACTTGGCTTCACAGAAATCTAAGTTCAAACAGTAGAGCTTCATGAAACACACAAAATCCGCCCCCCCCTATAATTCACATGAATATGAACAGCTCTAGCTATGATGAATCACAAGGTGTGGGAGGCCCAGGGGATTGGGACATCAGCTCCAACAAGCTGCCAGGCAGGTTATAACATCCTCATCGACACCTGCTCAGCAGCCTGCAGGAAGACACTGCTAGAAGACACAGCCAAACATCTCAGCGATGCTTCTCAACTCTGGTGGGCAGAGGGCCTCTGAGCAACCAGAGGCCAGAGGAAAGTCATGTTCGAGGGGATGTAATTGTTGAACAGGCCCGTGCAGGTTGAAATTTAATTGGCCTTGTTCCTATATTTGCTGGGATTTGAGCATAGACGGTTTCCATGCTTTTCAAACTGTATCTCACATTAGAATCTGTGGGAAGCTTGTTAAAATGCAGGTTTTGATTTAGCAGGTCCAGGTGGGGCCTGAGAGCCTGCATTTCCAACCAGCTCTCAGGTGATGCTGAGGTTGTGGTCCTGGGACCCCATTATGAATGGCAAAGACTATCTCACCTCGCTGAATCGCAGAGGTCAATACGGGCTCCTCATTGAACGTGGTGGTCTGAGCTTCCAGAGTGATTTTTTTTTTTTTTTTGCAACACATAAAATAACAAACACCTCTGAATGACAGGAATTCCGTACTTAAAAGTGATAGAACCACCTTTGAAAATCCTAAAGTGATATTCTGATGTAGAAACACTGATGCGCAAAGCGGTGCAAGAGAAAGACCTGAAAATCTGGCAGACCCGGTGACGTGGGTCTCACACTGCAAGCCAAAGTAAATCCTGTCAGTCCTTTATCCCTGACCCGGGGCATGTGGGCCTGAACCCTTGAGGCCTGGCTTCCTGTGCCAAAGCAGAACTCCCTGAGCAAATGCTTTGCAGCCTGGATCACACTAGGACACTTAAAAAAATCAGTATTGCTCTGTAGACCATCCTAGCAATGTCAAAGATGGCTGTGCAATGTCTTTGATGAGGCTGGACGACCTCAGTGACAGAGAATATTACTTCCCTGTCATTTGTGTCAGGATGGATATTAATTCTGGTGATGAATTGGTTCCCTTTTCAATCAGACTTGGGAGGCAGGGTTATAGCAACTAAGAAGAATTTTACAAATCAGTGATTGGTGAATTTTTAAGTTGATAAAACAATAAAAGAACAAAAACCGTAAGCTCTTTGAAACCCATGCAACTGGCTGGTACTCTAGGAAATAGAACTCTATGCCATTTTAACTGTGCCACGTGTGGCAGCCTGGGAAAAAATCCCTAATACCATAAAAGGGTGGACAGATCTTTCAATGCAGGTGATCCTATTTGAGCAATAACCCAAATAGCTAAATATACTTACCATTAAGGATTAAACAGGAAAGAAGACCATAACCACTAAGGCCTTATGAAAACTGTTGCACCATGTGGGCTACAAAGAATCTTTTAAGGAGGCCCAGGGGCCTGACAATGAGTATATAAATGAATGTGTATCTCTGTACTCCCACCACTTCCAGCTGAGGACAGTACAAAAGGATTCTGGGCTCTTCCGACCTGGCAGGACCCTTATCCTACAAGGGCAGCTGAGACCTCTGAAATTCAGGCCCATCTCTGCAAGGATCTAAGTGGGGAACTGCATCCACTCATCCCATCCTCGGCCCTAGGTGTTTTCCCTGCACTGCTTGCTTCATCAGCAGTAAACCAACATGAAAATAAATGACGCAAGTCTCTGTCACGATTCCAGCCCATCTTCAAAGTCACGAGAATCTAGCCCAGCTCAGCCTCCTTGATATTATCTTAATAATTCATTACATTATGGATGTGCCATAAAATAATAATTACTTAACTCACTGGCCTGATGAAAAATGTAATTACATATGCAAACAGCTTTATAAAAAATACCGTGTGAAGAACACACTGACACAACAGCCACAACAGTACGTAGACCAGTGGTTCTCAACCTTCTTAATGCCGCAGCCCTTTAACACAGTTCTTCATGTTGTGGTGACCCCCAATTTCATTGTTACAAATTGAATATATTTAAAGCATAGTGATTAATCACAAAAACAATATGTAATTATATACGTGTTTTTCGATGGTCTTAGGTGACCCCTGTGAAAGGGTCGTTCAACCCCCAAAGGGGTCGTGACCCACAGGTTGAGAACCGCTGACGTAGACGATCACCCCAAGACCCAACCAAAATGTCTTACCAGGACCGTGTGCATCCCCGTGTAGAGCCTGCTGAGAGATACCAACGTGGAGAATGTCACAGCCATCACCAGCCCCAGAGCAAAGGGATACTGTAGGGAAGAAAGGCAACAAGGGCTTGATCTTGCGTTCTCACACACACACACAGTCAATGCGATAGAAGGGAACAGGACTCCTGATCCAGTGACTGCTGTCTCGACCTTGCACGTCCTAGGCCAGCGGCCTGATGATCTGAGACACATGGAAAAGGGAAAACAGAGGGAAGAAAGGGCAAGATGCCTGGGGATCTAGTTCTGGGAGGAAGTTTCACAACATGAGACCTAGCAGATCGGGGCTTGAAGACTCATGTTCACAGCTATTGTGCTAGCTGCATCAGTGGAGTAGATAATTATTTATTTCCACCTATGCTTAGAGTAAAACGGATGAAGTATACAGTGCTGATTAAGGGGCCAGACTGCGCTAGGATCAGGAAGTCCAGTCACCTACTTCACACGTGGTGCGTGATGAAGCTTGGCAGCAATGGGCCCAGGCTAAGAATGGACATATCTATGCCCAGATGTCAAGGCAGAATCAACTTTACTAAATCTCAACATTTGCTGGTGGGATAGCAGACCAAGGAATGTGGCTGGTGCCAAACCATATAAGAACATACGAATATTCTGCTTATGAACTATCCATGGAGATATAACCCATGTGCTTCCAGGTCTAATGTCTGTGGTCTTCCATGGAGAAGAATAAAGACAATGGAGAACTGCCTATATTATGCAAAGCACGTTATAGTCACAATCTCATTTCATCTTCACCCAACTCTATGAGGTAGGTTCTATCATTAGCCACATTCTACAAATGAGGAAACCCTTGATCACAAGTTATATTAGTATTAAACTTGAGCACAAAGATGCTTCCCCATCAATCATCACAGCTGATCCTCCAAACAGGAGCTGGAGCTCAGAGAGGCAAAGTGACTTTCCCAAGGTCACACAGCCAGAAGTTGACAGAGTCAGAACCAGAAGCCACACCTTCTGAGCCCAAGTCTAGTACAGCCTTTCCAACATAATATGTGAGTACAGAGATACTTGGCTATGCCTCATTTCTTAAAGTTTATCATTAACTGGGTGTCAGTTTTTCATCAAAAGGGTGCTAAAATTGAGTCAATGCATTCTGAAATTAGAGTCTGGTATTAAGCTCACTACATATTTGTACAAATGAATCCCATACTTACTGTTATTTAGGAGCAATAACTGAAGTAGCTAAATATATTTACCTCTAAAGTTAAACAGGAAAGAAGACCATAACAACCCAGGCCTTATGAAAACTGTTGCATCATGTGAACTAAACTAATTTGTTTAAAAGGCCTAGGTGGCCTCAAAATGAGCGTATAAATGGTGGTGGCATTGGTATCCCTGCGGTGAGCCTCTACTTGCTGTGTTTTTTTTTTTCTTCCCCCAAAGTCACATCAGCATGTTCATAGGCCTCTCTGGAGATGAAAGCAGCCCAGTGGGGGCCGATGCTGGGCCCACAGTCACCCACTGGGTGTGGCCTAACTCAGAAACCTACATTAAATTAATTCAGATGGTACTGGGGCACTCAGACATTTCTGATCCTGACATGACACTGAAGAAAGTTACAACACAAGTTTACTATAACTGCTCGGAGATATTCCTTACATCTGTCCCTTTCCCATTTAGGAAACTGAGGTCTAACCCCACGTGACCAGGTAGATGACCGCAAAGGTGGAGCCAGGACCCAATACTAATCTTGTCTTCTTCCAACCCCACCAGGCTGACCCCCCATGCCTGTACACCCTGGCATATAGAATGGGTTTCTTGGGTGTGGGGACAGGGCAAAACATTGCTGTCATTTATGAATAGGACTGCTAGACTTCATGAAATCTACCTTTTCCAATGGATCAAAGGGAAAATTATAAAATTAAAACTAGGGCAAGAGTTCTCAGACAGGCAAAACAGAACTTCACTGCAGGAATAATCTAACTTTTGAAAGGCCTGACACTAATTGGCATGTAAGCAGATATTAAGTGAAATTCTTCTGTGTTCAGCATTTATGAAAATCTCCTGTATTTTAGACCTTTTTCTAGAAAACATGGAGCCATTATTTCTAATGGTTGAGCCCCAATCAGGGGCGGAGGCCTCCTTGGGAGTCATCTGGGGCACAGACTCTTTGCCCCTGGCCCTGGGAAGTCTAGCAGGAGGATTTGGTGAACTCATCTCAGCCCTGGGGGATCATTTACTAGGATCATAAATGCCTCGTGTCTGTTGCAAACAGGATGTGAGCACCCACTCAAGTGCTGTCTCGTCAGGCAGTTCAGGGGGAAAATGCTTTCTGCAGGGGGAGTCCACACACCCTGGTTCCCAGACAGGCCCTGTTATGCTGGTGTCATTATTAATGGTGTCCACTTTCGTGCTTAGGCACAACCTGATTTGGATGCTAAATCGTAGGTCACTTTACTTAGGAAGACATTGTCATCAACAGCTCGCTAGGCTTCAGTTCTTAGGCCTCATTTCATGAACCTCCAAGTCCCTCAAAGCAGCTGTGGAAGAAAACTCTGAAGTGGAACCTCTCTCCTTTCCCTCATTGTGTGGAGAGCCCCCCACGGGAGGGAGAGGAGCCAGGCGCCTTACCTGGTATCTGTCCATGGTGGAGAGGAGGAGGGTGAAGGAAATGGCGGTGGCCGCCATGGCATGGGTAGATGGCATTCCATACTCAGCAATCACTCTCTTCTCCAGTTTCACCACCGGAGGGGAGAAGGGGCGGGGCCACTTCAGGATATCCTTGGCCACCTGGCCAATGTACATCACCAGCTGCAAAGCCAAAGGACCGCGGTGAGTCTAACTCGACAAGTAAAATCAATGAACTCCTACGCTCCGCGGATTTGTTTCGGGTTTCCCTGTTTGTTGGCTGAAAAGCTCTTTCTTTCGGACCCAGCTATCAGCTGGGAAAGGCTTTCAGAGTGATATTTAATTGGCAAAAAGAGAAACAGGCCTTCTGGATTCCACAGAGCAACTAAGACGTGGCATGGACTCACTTTATTTTAGTCACACATTTAACAAGCATTTACATAGCTCGGAGGTGTGCCGACCACTGTTCTAAGAGCTTTACAGATGTTACGTACCGAATCCAGTAATATCTGTAGAGTACAGGCCCATTTTACAGGTGAGTAAACCACTGTATTCCGTCAGTAAATGGTGGGACTCGTTGGATTAGAATCCAGAGAGTTTGCCTTCAAACTCTGTGCCATGACCATGTGATAGTACTTGTCCAAGCACAAGATGGTCCTGGACTAAAGACCATCTGATGCTCAAATCAGCCAGCCACAGTTTTCAAGTTTTAACCAGAACAGTGATTGTTCTATGGATCTTCTAGCTAAACATCTTTTTTGCTACTGTTACTCCTGTTATATGTAGGCAACATACTGGATTTAATTTAATTTCATTCAATAATCAGAAGCATCGCCCTCGCCTGTGTGGTTCAGTTGTATGAGCGATGTCCCATGCACCAAAAGTTTGCTAGCTTGAAGGGTACATGATCAGGTTGCAGCTTGATCCCCAGTAGGGACATGCAGGAGGCAGCTGATCAATGTTTCTCTCTCACATTGATGTATCTCTCTCTCTCACTCTCTCTCCCCCTCTCTCTCCCTTTGTCTCTCTCTAATCAATAAAAACATATTTAAAAAATGAAAAAAGAAATCAGAGGCATTAGTAAAATAAATGTTGTATTTTCAGCTCCAAATAAGACAACTGAATCTGGAGTTTCTTCAAATGACTGTTTCATGATGCCATTGTAGAAGAAAGTTCCACTCCCTTCCTTTTTTCTTAAAGCAGAAGACAGAAATAAGAATTTTATTTCTAAGCCCTCCAGAAATGAACAGGACTGTTAACAACAGACTTATTTTTGTCAGAGAGCTTTACAAGGAGACAATTTCATGATCTGTTTTAAAAGAGGAAAAAGCAAACCGTTTGCTTAAGTGACTGCATTTGCGGCCTCTGCATCACACAGGTGCTGTTTTAAAATGCAGATCCCAGGCCACAGCCCCACCGACTGAACTGGAGCCCCCATTTCCACAAGACTCCTGGGTGGGTTGTGCGCACAGGAGAACTTGAGAAGCCCTGCTTTCCACGGTATGCTTGCACAGGTCACTGTGGCAAGGGCTTTAATCCTAAACTTTCTCGTCTTACCGTGACTGTATTGATCTTGCTAGGGCTTTATTTAGCTGGTGATGGATGGGTTACCTTGCTTTGAAACAAAACCCACTATGGGAGGACTAGTTCAAAATAATCTTGATTAGTCAGCCAGCTTGCCTTAGGGTTTCCCATATTCTGATGCTTTCTTTGAGCTCTTTTAGTTGCCGGTTAATTCCTGAGCATTAGCCCAGCATAGTCAGTAGCCCCAGAAGGCACTGCATGTGTTTTGTGCTCCACTGCCACTTTGCTCCGGGTTAAAAACCAAGAGCCACTGTCTGTGCACAGCAGGCCACAGCCACAGGCTTTAAAGCCTCAGCGACAATCACTCCGGATTCCATGGCTGCGACTTCTATGCGGACTTTGAAACTTAACCTCTTTACCATCCCCTTATTACCAGGAGCCACTGTCCTGGAAACCAGCTCGCTCTTTTATGTTTCCGCCTCTCTCCTGCGAACCTGTAAAAACCACATCCGACTGGCTTATCTGGGGAGTTGAAAAACTTGTAGATATTGACTCCCAAGGATTGCTCACAGGCTGCTTGAGATATATTTCTAACCCTTCCCCTTCCCCACTCACCAACATAAACAAAATATTACTGGCATCATGACTATCTCTAGCTTGCTCAAAAATACTTTAAAATCCCTGCAGACAGGAGACCTTCAGATCATAAAGTAAAGACAGACTGGGCGACCCTCATTCAACAAACTTATTTAATTTTCTTGACGTTCATGAGTCCCTTGACTTATTTATATTTTGCCTTCTATGTTTGAAGGAGGTTTTTAAGAATTAGAGCATTTGGCTATTTCACTCAAAAATATTACCATGGACTACACCTTGCTTCTGATCAATAAATTTCAAATAACAATTACTATAATGACAGCTCTCATTAAACAAGAACAACAACAGAGCTGTATTTTTCAAGTCTTGTGGAAAGAGTACCATGTACAGGGGGTCGGCCCTGTCTCTGCCATCACATTTATTACAACAAGCCTCCATAGGCCCCCCGCCTTGAGTGGGGAAAACAGTCACACAAACAGAGGCTCTCACCATACTGCAACGATGCTTTGAGGAAAATTATCCGCAGAATCTATGGGTATGCATACTTGTAGAGACAGACTTGGATTCAACCTGGAGGACCAGGAGCGCTTGGGCTGAATGTTAAAGAAGACTTTTTAACTAAGATCAGTGATTGCCAGGCGTTAGGGGAAGGGAGGGATGACTGGCGGAGCACAGCAGACTTTTAGGGTAATGAAACTATTCTGGGTGACACTGTAATTAGGGGAATACATGTCATTACACAGTTGTCCACACCCAGAGAATGCACAACCGTGAACCCTAATGTAAACTACGGACTTTGAGTGATTATAACGTGTCGGTGTAGGATCATCAATTGTCCCACTCTGGTGGGAGAAGTTGATAATGCAGGATGCTGTTCGGAGGGGTGGGGGTGGTTATGAGGGAGCTCTCTGTACTTTTCACTTAATTTTGCTGTGAACCTAAACTGCTCTAAAAAATAAAGTATTAGAAAAGAGTTTCATGGCAAAAGAGAACCATTTCATCATTCAGTTTGCAGAGTATAATGCTTAACTTGATAGGGCTTGCCCTAAATGAAGGGCTTGGCTTTGTACATAAAGAGACCAAATTACATTCCAACATCTATCACATTCTTTTGGGCTCAGGCCCCAAAGGCCTATATGGAAAGGAAAAATCCCAGAGGAGGAAAGGCAATTATACAGCATTAACACCTTAGCAGACTATCTGGGTCCCCTGTGTGGTGCTGGTGATGATGATGATGATGATGATGATGATGATGATGATGTGTGCGATGCGGGGGGAGGTGGGGAGGGGACAGGATTGGCATTTCCCTTCCGGGAGCCGGTCCATCCTTGCTGTTTCAAAGGACCTGGCATATATGGCATACTGTTCTTAAAATGTTTGCTCACCTTCTTGGCACTATGTGTTTTAATCAAGGTTTCCTCTCTGAGAAAGGTTGTTTCCCCAGGTAGGGATTTTCCCCTGAAGTTAGGGAGGGAATAAAACCCCTCAACTAAGTGCCAGGTGGGTAATTAATCACTTTAACTACGAACAATCATGCTTAAGCTACATAATCTTTACTCCCTGGAATGGAGATAAGAAACGCCCTAACCTTTGTAATAGAGATTGATAGGATTGAATCAACTGGTATAAATACAGATGTAACAAGACAGCGAGAGACAGAACTTAGAAGACAGAACCAAGAGAGACAGAACCTACACACAGAACCTACACACAGAACCTACACAGAATCTAGAGACAGAAGAACTTCGCTGGAGAGAACATGGCAAAAGATCCTGGACAGAAACTGGCCTCAGAACCTAGAGACAGAACCTAGCGAGAGAACATGGCAAAAGATCCTGGACTGAACCTGACTACAGAAATTGGCAAGAGAACCTGACTAGAACCTGGTGACTGAACCTGGCTGGAGAACCTAGTGAGGGAACATGGCTACAGAACCTGGCTGGAGAACCTGGAGAACCTAGCAAGAGAACATGGACACAGAACCTGGCTGGAGATCCTAACCAGAACTTCGCTAGAGATCCAGACCGGAACTTCGCTGGAGATCCAGACCAGAACTTGGCTGGAGATCCTGGCTAGAGATCCTGGCTAGGCTGCTGATCAACTGAACGCTATCTCCGTGTCATTCCTTCTTCGCCAACTCCGTCCACACCTTTGGGGACCCCTGGACCTGCTGGGGTTGGACCCCAGCATTTCCCAATGAGGAATTAGCTGATTTTCTTACTTCTGCCCTGATTACAGGATAAAGGAAACATAGTTGGGAAGAAAATCCATTTCTCTGTATAGTCCACTGCTGATTCCAAACAGATAAAAAGCTTCTCTAGTGAGCCCATTCTCTTAACCGGAAGCAGGTCCTCTCACAGTCCGGATGGACTTCCAGCTGGGATCTGTTCTTGGCTGGGCTCCTCTGGGCCGGCAGAGGCACCTTTCCTCTTAGTGTGATGGCCCTTCCTAGTATTACAATCCAAAATGACAAGTTTACTGTGCCAAACACATCTCTGATTCACAGGACATTGCTCTTCACACGAGCATAAATAAAACCCGAACAGGTCCGAAAACAGGAGGTCATCAAAATAACATCATTGCTAGTAAAGCAGCTGCAGGACTTCACAAGCAAAGCCACATGTTCATTTTGTATACACAGATTGCTGCCTGCCCCCAACTGTCCTCCTCCCCACAACGCATCCCCATCCCACAGTGTGAAGGCTCCACTCTCATAATAAAAGCTAAGTCCACTGCAAGATGGAGGAAACATCAATAGGTTCTTTTCAAATTATACTCACCCACGCCCTTCATCCACACACAAATTTTGATAAACTCTGACATCTTTCTTCCTTTTGGCTACACCCATTGCTCCCTCCACCATGGGGAAATCATGGCGCAGGAGATGAAGTGACAGGAGGGTATGACATCCCTCAGGTCTCATGGGAAGAAAACACTGGGAATTATAGTCTATGTATGGATTTATTTTCAATAAGTCAGGAATTAGTTATATCGTTCTTTGGCAGTTGGAGAGTAGAGAACAATGAGATGTTACCCAAAGACCATAGGTTCTCTACCAATAT